AAAAATAAAAAATAACCAAAAAGTCCTTAAGATTATGTATATGATCTCATAAGATCACATCCTAACCGACTTGTAGACAAAGTTAGTAGTCATCGTTCGTTTCGTTTATTTTCATAATTTGTCTAAAAAGAAAAGTATGTTTAATCTAAAAGTGTGAACAAGTCGTCTTTCTATTCTTGGAACAGCCACTCATTACATTTAAACGTATAACTCATTAGAAAAGAATGGAAGATAACATAAATAAATCACTAAAATATTTCTTTCTTATTCTCCATTTAATTAATTTCTTTTTATTACATAATTTTATTCTATTTTTGTATAATCTTACAGAAACAACTCATACGAGTACTCACGCTGACAGGTCGTACTCGCTTGATGAGTACTTTCACTAGGATTAAATGATCAATGACTGGTAATTAAATTAAGTGTAGCTTCTATTATAATTGGTTTTCTAATCGGTTTATTGAATGGTTTTCCATAATTGTAATTCTCGTAAAATAGGATTTGGAATTTATCTTCGATTATTTCTACTCTGACAGTCAGTTTCTTAATTATAAATTATGATTTGTAAAGGTGAGTGGATGTGGGTATCGGTGAAATATAAAGATAACACCTTCTCGCGTCTCATCCACATTCACATTCATACCCTCAAGACTTTTTAACTACCTTATGTAAATATTTATTGTTAAATAAAAATAGTTGTTTTACAACAATGTTACAAGATACATGATTACAATAAACAAAGAAACTTATAATGGCACAACATTGATCAACAGTTAGTCTGGTATTACGAGTAGTTTGTGTTAATAATTATGAACAAGATGTTGACACTTGATAATATTTTTAACTTCAGATCGAAATTTTTTAGACACGAGAAAATTGGTATAGAAGCCAACACAAAATGGGATATAAGAACTGAACAGAGCAATATTCAAAATCAGGAGTCCGAATTGAAATTCATCAAAACTATATGATCGAGTTTGAAGTATTTGTAAGTATATAAGAACAGGTGGCATCATTGCACTGAATATAATATATATACTAATATCAATAATCAAAATTTGAATAAGTTGACTATCCTTTGAATGAGTAGGATGTACAGCAATAATAGCTGTGTTGACAGTAGCAAAAGTGACCTGACGCCTTTTTCGAAGATTTCTCACAGCCTATATTCCCAAAATAATCATCAATAATGGAATAAGAATGTCTTGGATTAATATTGTATAATAATTTATGAATGCTATATAGAATCTAGGCTGAAAAGAGCAAATGATAAGATTTGGTACCGGTTCCACAATACGAGTCAGAAATAATGTATGCATATGAGCTAATAACCAAAATAATGTTATACCTATGATGCATATATAAGTTAGACGTAAAGTACTTCGTTGCCTTGTTAGAGCATTTGGTGAAGTGATTAATATTCGATCAATAGATGCCAATATTAAATAAGATGGACTTAAAACAGCAGATAAAAGCAGTGCATAATAACGAAAATGACAGAAACTCAGACTATATACAGTAGGATCAATATTGTAACCATTTGATAGGATCGCTAATAGCATTGTTGTATAAATTTGTAGAAGATAACCAATATTACACGCCACCAAATATATTGCACATGGATTTTTACGATGGTTCTTTTTTGTAAAAACAATCAAGCTAAGTACGCAACTTACAGTACCCAAAATCATCAAAATTGGTCCACCGTATTTATATAAATTTGTTTGTATTGATATTAATGGTGAATTGTAATCTATTTCTGACGACATTTTAACTGATTTATCTAGAAGAAAAAAGAAAAAAACATTCATTATAAGAGATTATGTTAAAAACAACTAACTTCAAATTTCTTTCCTGAAATATTTTATACTGAGATTTTAATTAAATATTTCTATTACAGTCTATGCCGTTGTTCATCGCACATTGGAATAATGTTTTCACAGACCAATTACAACAAAGATAAACTAAGAAACCTTATCAATAGATTATAATACAAAGAAAATGATGAAATATACTGTCTATTAATATATTATGTTCGTGATTAATATTATCTATGCGATAAAAATGCTATTTATAATGCCTCAAGTAGAAATAAAAAGATTAGAAAAAAGCGTTCCCATTTATATAAATAGAAAAACACTCGTTTATATCAACAAGACTATAAATATTCTGCGTGTTATCGAACAAAACTACTCGAGATATAATAATTAAAATTTAATGTAAAATTTTCTACCTCATAGTATATACGAAGGAGATGACGCTGTATCTTAGGCACGGCTAAAACGAGTGACTTTATTCGATTAATGATTGTTTTATTTTAACGGTTTATAGCATAGATTGAGTGACCAAAAATAAGAGCTGTTTTATGACAAGTAGTTGTTGTTTCTGTTTTGTGAGTATTTCTTTAGATGGATTAAATGATACAAGTAATGCGACACAAACTTTGATGAGTCCTTCGCTCAAAGAGCTCTTACTTGATGAAACAAAAATATTCGGTCATGAAGTTTCGAGTTTCTTCGATCTATACTTATTTAACGTTAATCTATATTTCTATAATATTCACGTTTCTAAATATGAAGAATTCCACTTTATTAATAATAAAAGAAAAAAAACAGTGTCTGAAAGTGTGAGTGGAAGTTAATTATTAAGCTCACTCACACACACACTCACTAAACTTCAATCAATCAAGACGTTGCTCCTTCACAATTGTACAAGACGGACATTTTGTTGTCGGCTTTTTTCTTTTACTGTTCTTTGCTCGAATGCGTAGTTGCACCAGCAATACAAAAAAAATGACGCACGTGAAGCAAATACGCATTTCAAAAGAAGAAATAAAAGCAACAACACACCGTACATTTCAACAATTTCTATCGGAGACAAACAAAATTATGACAAGTTTGGTTACATTACCGGTAGAGCTTGTGTATCGAATTCTGGACCATCAGAGTGATTTCACTTTGTTGTGTTCTATGCGAAATGTGTGTCAGCGACTCAATCAAATCGTTGACACGTATGATCGATATCAGGTAAAGCTTTTTCTTATTATACCCGGCTAATGTTCATCAATCTTCAAGTTTTGTTTTTACCCTTACAACCTGTAAGCCTAATAAAATAGTAGGTAATTAGCCTATTGTGAGATAGGCTAATTTATCAGTCATTCTGTGCTCTACTCATAAGAGGGTTAAGTCTCAAGGTAGTACCCGAACAAATAATCGTTCACATGTTACTTCATTTTTTTCGTTTACCCGTTAGTTGATACTGGATGAAAGTCATAACAGGTGTGAATAAGTGCAGATATAACTATGAGTGAAACTACATTCATTCTTTTGTAAGCATTCCAATGTTCAAAGAGGATTATTCATATTCTACAGATGATGGTGACAAAAGATTGAATCGAAGGATAGGAAGAGAGGCTGTAATATATGTCTCCTAAGATATATTTTACCGATATAAAACAATCGTTTGAGACAGACTAACATTCCTTCCTTTCTCCACTTAATCCTTTGTCTATGACGATAACATTCCGAGACGATCATGAGAACCTCTGTGTATTCTTGACAAATATGTCATAAGTTTAATCCTTTACCACACACAACTTCCAGCTGGTCTCAATAAGTAGGAAATCCCATAGAATCTATATTATTTCAAATCCAGATCTTCAGAATACCAACGCAGAACGCTAGATAATAACAACATCATTCTATAATCCCTGTCATATCTGTTTCCAAAACCGAATGTCGACACTCACCAAATTGGATCCCTCCGATAACAAAATCGTAGATGAAGGAGTACAACATCTCGGTGATGCACCATGAAACAACACATTAGTATTCATTCACTCATCACTTATTTCATATAACTATTTGTACTCTCTCATACAGATACTCACCACGCTGGATCTCGATAGGAACAAAATCGGAGCTGAAGGAGCAAAACATCTGGGTGATGCACTACGAAATAATACAGTAATAGTCATTCACTCGTCATCTATTTCACATAACTATTTGTCCTCTCTCATATAGACACTCATCACAATAAATCTATCATCGAACAACATCGGCGATGAAGGAGCAGGACACCTCAGTGATGCACTGCGAAATAATAAAGTAATAGTCATTCAATATTCATCTATTTCACACAATTATTTGCACTTTCTCATATAGACACTGACTACATTGTATCTTCGAAACAACGAAATCAGAGACGAAGGAGCAGAACATCTCGGTGATGCACTACGAAATAATGCAGTAATACTCGGTCACTCTTCACCTATTTCACATAACTATTTGTCGTCTCTCATATAGACACTCATCACAATGAATCTGTCGTCGAACAACATCGGCGATAAAGGAGCACAACATCTTGGTGATGCACTACGAATTAACAAAGTAATATTCATTTGCTCTTCATCTATTTCACATAACTATTTGTCCACTTTCATACAGACACTTACCACGCTGAGTCTCTGGAACAACCAAATCGGAGATGAAGGAGCACAACATCTCAGTGATGCACTGCAGAATAACAGGGTGGTATTTTAAAGGGCGTGTGGGTGTGAATCCATCACGAACATATTAGTCTATCTTGTAGCAAATGAACAAGTTTAATCTAATAGTGTATACTTTTGCATTGCAGTAATGGAGTTGTATGCAGAATATTGATTTTTTGTTTTAAGATATGCTTGTAAAATAATTAATAAATGCAGTATGCAGTTCGTCGACGCGTTTTGTCTTATTTATTTAAATTTAAATCCTCATCAAGGCTGTGTATATGAGAGAAAAGCTTAAAATAAAACGAAAATGGAAGTGAGGAAATGGGGTATTAAGAGGAAAATCAGAATAATGATAATAAGATTTCTGTGGAATAAGTAAATCCTTAGTTGTAATTTGTTTCTAATCAATTTTAGTTGGTCTCATAGAAAGACGATGTTAGTTATGTTGATTGTTCTGTATTTGAGAGTATTCAGTATAGTTTTATCAATAGCAAGATCATCTGGTTAAAAGTCTGATGTCATTTTGTATATTATTGTGGAAGATTTGTAAATGAAGTTTACTATTCTCGTAATACAATGTTATTATTAGCATTAAATGGTTGATTAAGTGTAAATAAATGTGGATCATTATCATACTACTTATTTGTCGTTGTTAAAGATATGAATAAATATAATATGTTCCGTAGTCGGAGATATGATAGTTTGTGGTATGTTTATTTTCGTTCATTGTTATGTACTTTAGTTAAGTTGAGCCACCAAGATGTAAACATAAGGACAGTTAATCTATAACTAGTCACCTGAACATAATCCAAAAGCAGATTCTGTTGTGTTATAGTGTTTGTGTTCTTCCACTGCGTTTTCCCCTTCTGCTGTGCTGTTGTATAAAGTGCTTTCATCTTTTCTGGTTCTTGAATACCTATTAACCGTTTGAATCGTTAGCTCACAATCGTATACACCCACACCCAAGCCCTAAAGACTACCTGTATCATAGCCTTAATGAAAGGTGTGTGTGGAGATATAAGCATGGATTAATCGACATCTACACTATTTTCGTCTTGATTATTCTATAGCTGATGATGATGATAATGCGATATTTCAAGCATTAATAAGAATAATGTTCACAGAGATTAATTAGTTGAAAAATAAAAATTTGATTGATAATTTTTAACAGATTGAAGAAAACTAAAGAGTACAGAAACGAATCCGATTAAATAAAAGATTTGTTTCTTTTGTAATTGAATTTTAATGGCTCAGCATATTGGAGATATTTATAATGAATTTTTGATTTCCTCATGTTCATTAGATACTGTCATATTTCAACAGTCGATCAGAGTTCACTATGGCATATTGACATCATATGGGATGGATAAAATCATCACAGGATTTATTGGAAAATCATTCAGCTGACTACTGATACAATAATGATCATAGTTACACAAAAACAAACAGATAACAAAAGGATACAACAGTAACATTAAGAATAATAATAGTGAACGAGATTAGTAACAATAAATGATATAATGAACAACAATACAATAAAAATTACAATTTTAGATTTTAAACAATTGTAGTTCTCTGTAATAGTTGTCTTCCTGGTATTTTAGACATAGTTTTCAATCCACTCTGATGATTTCGTACGTTTCTCGGTGGTCTTCCAGAACACTTCAGTATTAAATCTTTAACTTGATTTCGAAATGATTTGGATGTGATAAGATGAACATAGAATGTCGTATTGTAATTTAAATATAAAAGAAATGACATTATGATAAAATTGATAAATGTTTCAATTTGTTTTCGTTCTGCTGTTTTACTTGATGCCATAGATGATGTTATCTGTGTATAGACTGCCATTGGTGGATACAATGCTGTACAGATAATATATACGATTATTTCAACTAATACAAGTTTTATTAAAGAAATATCTCGTCTATTTAAACGATGACAACTATTCAATGGCTGAATCTGTGCACGTAAACTTTTTAGACTCTTACCAAGCAATATACCAAAGGAAATCATTGAAACAATGGGTATAAAGCCAGTAAAAACTACAACGTAAAAACTGAATATCTGTCCATAAATTCCGTATACACCACATCGTCCATTTTCAATACTTTCCCAAATGAGTAGATGAATGGAAACTACACTCCAAAATACTGCGGTAACTGCAGCTGATCGATATGCACTGTGTAATAAGCGTGTTTTCATTCGAGCACT